CTCGATTGTGGTGTGGTCTCGTGTCCTCGACTGTGATGTGGTCTCGTGTCCTCGACTGTGATGTGGTCTCGTGTCCTCGACTGTGATGTGGTCTCGTGTCCTCGATTGTGATGTGGTCTCGTGTCCTCTGATGTGGTCTTGTGTCCTCTGATGTGGTCTCGTGTCCTCTGCTCTGATGTGGTCTCGTCACATCACTAGGAAAAAAATACTATTTCAAAACATCATTTTTACCTAAAAACTCAACTTTCACAAAAATAATATATAAGTACTTTATTAAAGTTACTGAAACAGGAAGTATACCAGAGTATACTGAGTGAAAGCCACAAAGGTCTACCAGAAGTGAGTATACTCAAAATCTAATTTAAATTTCTAATTTCTCACGTATGGAAGACCTTTGAATTGTATAGTGAGGAAAACTAATTAAATTTCTGTGGGTTAGCTTCTTCTTGTTTCAGATTTAGCTACTCAGGACGAAGTGTCCATGTAGCACGGTCTATGGCGAGCCCGTAAAGTGGGTTAGCATCGCAGGATATCGTCAAAATAACGCAGCATTACGGTGGTGGTGTTAGGATGGTGTTAGGTGGTGTTAGGGTCGTTAGTAGCACTATTGTTTGGGGTGGGTGGGGGGGGGGGTTAGCTGTAGAGGGATATAGATTATTGATTTAAAATTCCAGTCTATGTCCATAAATAGTTTACTTATCTATAACAATATTATAAATTTAGGTTTAGAATTTCCTCATCTGAAACACTTGCTGTGGATAGGCCTATACAGATCGAGGCCTAATCTCCAGCGTGGACCGCAGAGAAGAAAAAATGAATAAAAAGCTATTTTTTTTTATCTCGGTAAAAAGGTTAGGTTCCATAGATTTAGGCATACGATAAAAAATACATATTCAGAGATTTAGTGAGTAAAAGATTATGTATATTCCGTGTGAAAGTAAGAGTTACTTGTTAAAATCTTAGTTTATATATATTAGAACTAGAGACATAGCTGGATCACATATGTACATCATCACATATTCCAGCACACACACACACCTGGCGTGTATATGTGCTGGAACACACACCTTATATATCCAGGTGTGTGTTGGAAACCCAGTGCCAGATTCACGAAGCAGTTACGCAAGCACTTACGAACCTGTACATCTTTTCTCAATCTTTGGCGGCTTTGTTTGCAATTATTAAACAGTTAATGAGCTCCGAAGCACCAGGAGGCTGTTTTACCAAAGCCGTCAAAGATTGAGGAAAGATGAACACGTTCGTAAGTGTTTGCGTAACTACTTCGTGAATCAGGGCCCCCAGAGGCTAGTTTGGCAATTGTTCAATTTCTCACCTCTTGACCTGTTCACCATGCTGTTCCTTAGCCAAATATATTGTTAATTATATGGTGGTTCCTATATGATAGAACACTTGCTGAACACCTGTTACAGCTGTTACAACATCTGGCTACTTACAAAAATACATCTAAGTGTACTTAAAACCTCAAAGTGATATATATATATATATATATATATATATATATATATATATATATATATATATATATATATATATATATATATATATATATATATATATATATATATAATGCCTTGAAGATATCAAATCAACTCGAATGACAACAGATCAAAATTGGACCAATTTAGACTTATAAATAACTCAGAAATTAGTTTGGAAATATTTGTGGAGAGTTTTGACATAGATTTGACATAGATCTTGGCGTCTGTTTTGAAGAAAAACTAAATTCATAAATTTTGTCACAAAATGAAAGGTAATTTTACAGTCTTGAATTTCAACAAAGCAAAACTAATGCTGAAATTCTTAAATAATAATTCTTAAAGAACTAATCATTCTTAAAGAAATAAAAACAAGGACTTAGAACATAATAAAGCCTTCGTAAGAAGGTAAGTGGAAAGATGCTGTGAGCAAATAAAGGGTTAAGCAAGATGAGATCTCTCAGATACCGGGGTGATGCTCTTCTCAGCCTCCCAACAATGGCTTGCGTGCTCCTGGTATTGTGTTGCTACGTGTTGCTTCATTGTGTTGCTGTGTTGCTTCATGGGGATGATAGCAGGCTCGCAGCGTGAACCAACATCTCTTGAGGAGCGACTGTTGCCAACAGATTCCAACAGAAAGTTGCCAACAGAAAGTAGCTAAATCATCTAGCTAATAAATCAGTACGTTAGTTATGTTAATATTACTTAAAAAAATATTTAGGGAGTACTACCTCTGGTTGTGTTTGTAGGGACCCTTGGCCTCGAAGAAGAGGATATATAGCACCCGGGGAGCCTTGTGGGGCTCCTGCATGTGTTCATATATTGTATTGTCGTCTATCACCGTATATATTGGTAATTATTTTGATTTGATTTGAAACTTTATTACACGAGATGGGTTAAAACATTGGGTACATGTTAGGTATTCATTGTAATGTATCCAATGTTATTTATCCAATATTCCAATGTAATACATGTAAGGTAAGGTAACATACAAGGTACAATGTTACAGACGTTCACTTTTATCGCGTCTGGGCGACCAACAGGCTCGTTGCAGGGCATTTGGCAAGAGGCTCTCTCTCTGCTGGACAACCGGCTATGGCGAAACTCCTCTTAATGATGTCATTGACTTCACTGTCTTGAATGCCAGCTCCCTGCACTTTGACAGAGTAGGCCATGCTGGTCGTACCTGTCAGGTTATCTTGAGATGATTTCGGGGCTTTAGTGTCCCCGCGGCCCGGTCCTCGAGAGGCCTCCACACCCAGGAAGCAGCCCGTGACAGCTGACTAACACCCAGGTACCTATTTTACTGCTAGGTAACAGGGGCATAGGGTGAAAGAAACTCTGTCCATTGTTTCTCGCCGGCGCCCGGGATCGAACCCGGGACCACAGGATCACAAGCCAGTGGCTGACATTGAGGCTGCTAATAGAAAGTCACCAGCATGAGGAGCTGCAAGAGCTCTTAGGCGAGCAGTAATCCTTAAGGTGTTAATAAGAATCTAGTCTCATTTAGGGACAGATTTAATATATGTAAATCCACGGAAAGCTGATGTATGTAAATCCCCAGCGATTTATCCGCATCTCTGCTCGCTTACAACAACAGTCGGGTAATTTGAAATGTAAAAGGGATTTTTTTGGTATGTTTTAGTTTATGCATGTGTGACCCTTCCCTCCCCCCCTTGTTTCCTGTTGACCTCTGGTGACCTGTGGAGGTCAGAGGTCAGCTTTCTTGTGTGTTGATGTTGTCTTTGTTTGTTCCGTCTAGACCTCCGTCCTCCTCCTGTCTGAAATTATGTTCTGTATAGAATTCTGTCCTCCCGTCTGCAGCTCTGTCTCATCTTAAATAGAACTGGAAAAATTGTATCCGTCTCTCTGTCTCTCTCTCTGTCTGTCTCTCTCTCTCTCTCTCTCTCTCTCTCTGTCTCTGTCTCTGTCTCTGTCTCTGTCTCTGTCTCTGTCTCTCTGTCTCTCCACCCCCTCTCTCTCTCTCTCTCTCTCTCTCTCTCTCTCTCTCTCTCTCTCTCTCTCTCTCTCTCTCTCTCTCTCTCTCTCTCTCTCTCTCTCTCTCTCTCTCTCTCTCTCTCTCTCTCTCTCTCTATACCTCTCTCCCCCCCCAAGTGGTCACCCACTACCCATCCTCGCCTTTCTAGGGACCTTCCTTTCCTCCCTTATTATGGTTCTCATCCCCCCTCCCCCCCCCCTCTATGGTTCTTACCCCTCCCCCCTTTATGGTTCTCCGCCCCTATTTCCCTCCCTCAACCCTACGTGATCAATCAGGTCCGTCGCGGCCCCACACAAGTGGTAGTTAGCAGGGACCGTCTCGCCAGGATTTTCTTCCCTGCCCACGAAATTTGTCCCTAATTTGCATACTAGAATAGCCAGATTGAGGCGGGGAAATCATGGGTTTAGGGGGGAAACTGGGTCAGTAATATTATGGGGTTTATTTTGTTTTTTATCTTTGTTAAATGATATGCTAGGATACGGATGGGGGTGCTTTGTTATTGATGAATTATTTGGATTTTTTGTTATGAGAGATTTGGAGAATGGGGGAGGGTGGGGAGGTGGAGGGAGGATGGGGGAGGTGGGTGGAGGTGGGGGGAGGATGGGTGGAGGATGGGGGAGGTGGGTGGAGGATGGGGGACGTGGGGGGAGGATGGTGGAGGATGGGGGAGGTGGGTGGAGGATGGGGGGAGGATGGGGGAGGTTGGTGGAGGATAGGGGAGGTGGGTGGAGGATGGGGGAGGTTGGTGGAGGATAGGGGAGGTGGGTGGAGGATAGGGGAGGTGGGTGGAGGATGGGGGAGGTGGGTGGAGGATGGGGGAGGTGGGGGGAGGATGGGGGAAATGGGTGGAGAATGGTCCGGAGGCTGTGAACAGGATGTATCAAGTCTTCTACCGTCAGTGGAGCACCTCACTGTACTTCCACTATACTTCACTATATTTCACTATACTTCACTGCTCGCCTGAGGCCAAGATCTGGTACAGGGGGACCGACTAGTCCATTTATATATTTTTATTTAACCTCTTTAGAAACAATATTCATGCCCAATTATGTAATTTCAGTTTATAATCTGTATTTCAGAGAGATAATTGGTTGTTAGGAGGCAATTTATGCTGGAGATGAGAGTTAAAGGTGGTCGCTATAAGCGGTGTGTGTGTGTAGTGGAGCCGGCCATCTGGTCTCCACGTGGTGGGGTCGCCATGGCAACAGTGGCCCATTGTTGACAGCTAGGCTTTTAAGTGTATATATTTGTCATATATTTTATTTTATGAAGGTAGCTTACTTCTCAATTATTCAGTTATATATAAATTCTCTTATTTAGATTAAGATATTCATCATATTTTTCTAATCTTCATTAGTGACATCTTTGTATAATATAGTTTTATCATATGTATAGTAAGGTCATGTGTGTATAATGTTAAAATACTTCAAGTTAAAATCGTATGTTAAATCATGTAATAATATTATTTGTAGGTACATAAGGCATAAGGTAAAAATGAAATCTGATTAAAAATATTAAATGGTTTTATTCAATAAATTATCCTTAGAGAATACTATCACAGTAATGGGGGGAAGCTCGTCCCCTGTATCACAGCAGACTGCGTCACCACTCATGGGAGGACGACCTCGACCTAGGGCATGGAGGACGACCTCGACCAAGGGCACGGACGACTTCTTATAGATGACATCCAACGTATCACAGCGACTGTAGTGGCTTCAAGGTATCTTAGGAGCATCAACAATATCTTCAGAACACCGAACTTCGCAGATTCCGCCAGCAGAATGACCCGACGAAGCAGAGGGCGAGGACCTGGTTGGCACTGGATTATCACGGCACTGAACCCCTATCACAGGGCGCTTGCATCACAGCGAAGTAGGAGACAGGTGGATGGCAGGGTACCTACGCCTTGGCTGGTGTCGAACCGAGGGCTTTCGATGTCTGGAGAAGGTCCTTGCAGAGGGCCCAGCTCGCGTCGTCGTCGTCAGAAGTCCAGAAGGTGCCGAACTGCACATCGAAGTCGGGCGAGGTCTTCACCATCAGCGACCCCTTCAGGCTTATGTTGAGATCCAGGGTAGCAGGAGAGGCTTCGATGATCTGTATAAGGCGGGCCTCCAAGGCCTCGTTGGCAAGGTTGTCTTCAATCTCGGCCTCGAAGTCAACACGCTGGACAGTCTTGTCCTCCTTGACCTTCTTCCCGCCCTTGGTTGGGAGAGTCTTCTTTACGAACTTCTTAATGGCCTTCTTCAGGCTATGAATGCTGAAAGCCGAAGACTTCTTGCTGCCAGTGACTGCCATGATGTAGAGAGTGTGCGAGAGCGGGTGATCTCTACGTCTCGGGAGTTGGAATGAGTATGCTACCAAAAGTGCATCCGCGCAGCTTATATACCCGAGCGTCCAGTGACGTCACGGGCACGTGATGCCTCGTGGCAGGTGGGTGCGCGACACGAGCTGCGCCGCGGGCACGGGGCTCCCCTTGCCACACACCGCCACTAACACTATATCCAACACACATTATCCCACCACACTTTCAATTCCTAACACATTACAAAAGCCACCCACGCCATATTATCTATTACCAAACACCTCCTGATGCCATGACACGACAGTAACACCCTCCGAGCACAAATGGGGATATATAAGAAATATGTAATCATCGGGACAGGCAGCCAGCAGCGGGCACCGTGAGAACGACGGACCGACCGCCGTTCCCAGGACTCTGGAATTTGAACGCCATGTGTCGACCGAGGCCCCGACGACGTCTTCCACCACCTGCCCCCTGCTGGCGAACGATATCTTTCAGAAAGGTTCATGTTACCCGTCTTATAGGTGGGACGCACCTCTATACTTGCCTAGAAGGGTTATTAAGCTCTCAAGGAACCATTCAAGTTTCCAACTTTTGAGTAAAACAGGAACAGGAAAAATATATATATGTTTACAAAAATAAATTGTCGTATGGTTAGATTTTGTCTTTCTACAGGCCATTAAAATTGTGACCCTCTAGACCGTCTAATGTTACTTGCGCTCTTAATTATTGGTGTATTATCTTAAGGTTTAAACTTTTGTCAATACACGTGCTTGAGGGAGTCTTGTATGTTGTATAACTTTATTTCTGCTTGGAGGAAGGGAATTATAGCTTTATTATAACTAATTATATTTACTGTTAGTTTATATATGTTGGGGTTTTGTACATTATTGTGGAGGGTAGCGGGAATACGGTCTGTTGAAGAACATGACTTGGGAGGAGTCGGAAAATTTGGGGAAAAATGTGTTTTGGGAAGTGTGTGGGGGGTAGGGGGGGAGGCTGGACCACCACCACCACTACTACCACCATCACCTCTACCACCACCACCACCCACCACCACCACCACTACTACCACCATCACCTCTACCACCACCACCCACCACCACCACCACCACCACCACCACCACCACCACCCACCACCACCACCACCCCACCACCACCACCACCACCCACCACCACCACCACCACCACCACCACCACCACCACCCACCACCACCACCACCACCACCCACCACCACCCCACCACCACCACCACCACCACCACCACCACCACCACACCACCACCACCACCACCACCACCACCACCACCACCACAAGCAGGTACAACCAAAGTTCTCTTACTCAAACATTACTTAACCCTACTTCCACTCCCATCAACTACAGACAATTATAATAATTCAAAATGTCGAGGGACAGGCTGCCAGTGTATATATATACATGTTAGGCTTATATCAGGTCCTCCCTAGGGTCGAATTACTCCCCCCCTCCCCCCCCCCCCCCCAGGATGCAACCCCTCAGCAAGCTGACTAACCCCTGAGAACCTATTTACTGCTAGGTGAACAGACGCATTAGGTGATAGGAAACGCGCCCAACCATTTCTGTCCCGCTGGGGATTCGAACCAAGAATTCTAGATTGTGGGTCGAGAACGAACCCGGCTGTTAATGCTCTTTACAAAAACAAATAAAGTAACAACGTCTCAAGATGTCTTCACTACAAATTAAATTTAATTTAAACTCTGAGAGGCTACGGGATCCAGTAAGTTCAGTAGAACTTCGGTTTCAACCCTTTTAACCCTGTCGTAGCTCAGTCGATTAAGGCAGTGTCTGGGATGCTCCCGGACGCAGGTTCGAATCCTCGTCACGGCCCTTGTGGATTTGTTCTTTAAATTTAATTTAATTTTTTTTTAAATTACTTCACTACAAGTAATGTTTTATAGCCGTGAGCCGCCGTCTGGGGTTATTACAAACATTTAAAAATTTAAATTTTAAATTAATTAAAATAAAATTTAAAATTTGAAAATTTTAAAATTTAAAAAATTAAATTTAAAATTAAATTTTACCCCGAGGGGCGAGTTTATTGGGCAGCGCCACTCATCTTGTGAGCGATATTACGAACATCTTGTCTTAGGGGGGGGGGGTGTTGAAGGGGGTGGAGGGGTGAGTAAGGGTCACTCATGAGTTCCCCTCTGATGAGAAACATATGAGATTACTGAACACTGTTGTGTGGGGGGAGGCAGGGGATGGGACTATCAGGGGGAAAGTAGCCAAGATATTATAACTATAGCACTTGGAAGGGGTCAGGATAAGGATTTGGGATGGGACGGGGGAAAGGAATGGTGTTCAACCACTTGTGGACGGTCGGGGATTGAACGCTGACCTGCATGAAGCGAGACCGCAATTCAGAGATAACACCATCAGTGGAGTTCAAGAAATGTGTAAGTACTTCATTCATAATGATGTACTGCCGGGAATCTTAGCCAAGTATCCAAAGTTTGTTTACTGTAGGTAATGCATGCACATGACTGTAAAGCTGCCGCCCAGTTGGGTGGGTGTGGAGCACATGACTGTAAAGCTGCCGCCCAGTTGGGTGGGTGTGGAGCACATGACTGTAAAGCTGCCGCCCAGTTGGGTGGGTGTGGAGCACATGACTGTAAAGCTGCCGCCCAGTTGGGTGGGTGTGGAGCACATGACTGTAAAGCTGCCGCCCAGTTGGGTGGGTGTGGAGCACATGACTGTAAAGCTGCCGCCCAGTTGGGTGGGTGTGGAGCAAGACTAGTAACTGTGTGACTCACCATAGATGTAAAGTGCCTTGTATAGTGACTTGTGAGCCTCTTGTTGAATCACTTGTCATATAAAAAGATTATCAATGTGTATATGTATTTGTGCAAAAGACTGTATATACATATGTACATGTATATGTAACATTACCAATTGCGTAACTAGCTTCACAAGATACTCACTTGCCCGAAACGCTTTGCGTAATAGTGGCTTTAGGCATTGTATGTACTAGCTCTATCTATAAAGCCAACAAACTTTGTAAAATCTCTTTATGTATGTACCTTTACCTAAATAAATATTATTATTATTACTTGCTTAGCTAAACGAACTATGGGGTTTCAGCTCCTGGGCCCCATTATATACCTTTGTAACCCTTGGAGTGCATAAGAAACTTAAAATTGATTGAAGTAGCTTTCATTACTATTAAAAAAATTGTTCGTATTTATAATTATTAGTAAGAGAGTTCAGTGACAGGTACCCGGACCTATTTAGACCTAGTGGGTTTGACCCAGGGGGGGGGGGTAGTGAGGTGGAGGTAGGTCAGGTCAAAGGTCAGCCACGAGGTCAGTCTTAAAACTCCCTACCACCTTAACTCCGAGAATGTGTTCATTGGCATGTTTGTGGTGTTCCGACCTATTATTTTTGTGGGGTTATCTTGAGGTTATCTTGAGATGATTTCGGGGCTTTAGTGTCCCCGCGGCCCGGTCCTCGACCAGGCCTCCACCCCCAGGAAGCAGCCCGTGACAGCTGACTAACTCCCAGGTACCTATTTACTGCTAGGTAACAGGGGTATTCAGGGTGAAAGAAACTTTTGCCCATTTGTTTCTGCCTCGTGCGGGAATCGAACCCGCGCCACAGAATTACGAGTCCTGCGCGCTATCCACCAGGCTACGAGGCCCCCTGCGAGGGTGATGCCCTATTCTCAACTCTTTCGGAAAACTGTAAATACCTTTTCTTAGGCCTATCGAAATCTCCCCCCCCCCCTCCCTAGGATTCAACCCCCAATAGTTACCTAACTATTTAGTACCTATTTTACTGTTACTGCCGAACGAGGAGCCGGTCGGCCGAGCGGACAGCACGCTGGACTTGTGATCCTGTGGTCCCGGGTTCGATCCCAGGCGCCGGCGAGAAACAATGGGCAGAGTTTCTTTCACTCTATACCCCCTGTTACCTAGCAGTAAAATAGGTACCTGGGTGTTAGTCAGCTGTCACGGGCTGCTTCCTGGGGGTGGAGGCCTGGTCGAGGACCGGGCCGCGGGGACACTAAAGCCCCGAAATCATCTCAAGATAACCTCAAGAAGATAACCACCACTACCAGTGGTAGGAAGAGTAGCACCACTACCACCACTACCAGTGGTAGCACCACCACCACCACCACTACCAGTGGTAGCACCACCACTACCAGTGGTAGCACCACCACCACCACTACTACCAGTGGTAGCACCACCACCACTACCAGTGGTAGCACCACCACCACTACCAGTGGTAGCACCACCACCACCACCACTACCAGTGGTAGCACCACCACTACCAGTGGTAGCACCACCACCACCACCACTACCAGTGGTAGCACCACCACCACTACCAGTGGTAGCACCACCACCACCACTACCAGTGGTAGCACCACCACTACCACCACTACCAGTGGTAGCACCACCACCACCACTACCAGTGGTAGCACCACCACTACCAGTGGTAGCACCACCACCACCACTACTACCAGTGGTAGCACCACCACCACTACCAGTGGTAGCACCACCACCACCACTACCAGTGGTAGCACCACCACCACCACCACTACCAGTGGTAGCACCACCACCACCACCACTACCAGTGGTAGCACCACCACCACCACCACTACCAGTGGTAGCACCACCACCACTACCAGTGGTAGCACCACCACCACCACTACCAGTGGTAGCACCACCACCACCACTACCAGTGGTAGCACCACCACCACCACTACCAGTGGTAGCACCACCACCACCACCACTACCAGTGGTAGGAAGAGCACCACCACCACCACCACTACCAGTGGTAGCACCACCACCACTACCACCACTACCAGTGGTAGCACCACCACCACCACCACTACCAGTGGTAGCACCACCACCACCACCACCACCACTACCAGTGGTAGCACCACCACCACCACTACTACCAGTGGTAGCACCACCACCACTACCAGTGGTAGCACCACCACCACCACCACCACCACTACCAGTGGTAGCACCACCACCACCACTACCAGTGGTAGCACCACCACCACCACCACCACCACTACC